TTAGCTAGAATATTTGCTAGAAAGTAGTAATAGTTAGTTATCTTAGCATTAACTAACTAGTATAAATAGACGACTAGGTCTATTGTAAAAAGCGCGCATATGTGAAAAATCCTCTTAGTGTTTTACGTCTTATTATCAATAAAGTAAAACCTTTGAAGCTCAAATTGTTCTTTAATATTCATATATTAATTTTGAGTCTTCTTAACTTTCTTCATAAAATTATTATAATTTGGTTATTCGTAACAAATTATAAGTGTTATTGAGAGATCTGGGATCAACACGTCCTCTGCATTCTTTGGAAAAATGGCCAAGTTTTCCGCACCTGAAGCTGCGGGGGTCATTTTTCCTTCCATCCTTGTCCTCCTTCCTCTCGTCTCTTCTRTCCTCTCTTCTTTCTTCTCTTTCTTCTCTTCCATCTCTTCTATCTTCCCTCTGATGATATTTCGATGGCTTCCTTTCATAGGATGACTGGTACCTTTCCCTCTTGAACTCTTTTCGTTCATAGGGTTTCTTGATGAATTTTTTCTGGAACTGCTTTGTAATCAAGGCCAGAGATTTGGCAAAGGCTTTAATTTCATCATCTGATTCAAAAGTTTCGTCTTCAGATTCAGATTCTACCACCAGTGCTTTCTTTCCTTTCTTCTTAAGTTCTCTGGTAGGGGTCCTTGATATTTCCTTTTCATCGGCAGCAATAGCGAGAGGTCCACCGATGGATACCTTCTTCTTCATAATGTCGTTCTCTTGTGCTGCAAGCGTTCCATACAGATCGTGAAGTGACCAGCCGTCTAGGTCCTGGTTTGCTTGAAGGGACATAGACAGCTGAGTCCATTCATCGCCAAGACTTTTTAGGAATAAAACATTGTTTTCTTCCTTAGTTCTGGAAATATCATTTCGACGACATTGATTGATCAATGTGTTGAAATGATCGTATGTCTTCTGTATCGGTTCATCAGAAAGGGCCTTGAAATTTGTTTATTCGTTGAGACATTTTGCTCTATGATTTTTTTCGTTTTTGCTCCTCCTTCCAGTTGGCTTGCCAGTTCATCCCATAGTTCCTTGGCTGTGGAACATGCATCGAGGGATTGGAAGATTTCATTGGGTATGGCCATGATTATCAATCATTTGGCCTTCTTCTCTGTCTCTACCCTTTCTATGTCGTCTTCATCCCAATTCTTCTCATCATTGGGCATATAGTAGGCAGGAATTTCAGCTGTGGTGTTTGTTCCTGGAACTCTTGGGACAAGAGTTTGTGGAATGTAAGGACCCTCCATCACAGATCGCAGAAGGTTCCTGTCCATTCCTTCCAAGAAATTCATCATTCTTATCTTCCATTATGGGTATTCTTCTCGTTGAAGAGTTGGAGGCTTGGTGAGGGAGCCAACACTATATGCAGAAGTCCAGTTGGCCATTTAGAATTTTTGAAGAGAAAGATTTTACGTTTGAAGAAAAAAATATTGAGAGATTTTAGATGATCGTTTTGATTGAAGAACAATCAATTGGCTCTGATACCAATTGTTGATTCCAGATCTCTCAATAACACTGATAATCAAGTTAAGAATAACCAAATTATAGTGTTTTGATGAACAAAGTGATGAACACTCAAGAATAAATTATGAACATTAAAGAACAATCTTGAGCGTCAAAGTTTCACTTTATTAATAAGAAAAACGTAAAAGAGACATTTAGTACAATAGGCCTAATCACCTATTTATACTAGTAAGCTAATTAGAAGATAACTATCCATTGAGACTTTTTAGCTAATCTTCTATTAACAGATAATGTTTATCTAAACTATGAATAAGCTTTAATATTAAGATAAACTTGAAGTGTAGCTGTCGACTTGTCATCTCCAGCTGTCTTCCAAGGTATGATGAATCAACCTTATCTTTAAATCTTCATCGTATGCCTCTGGTTGAATTGCTGAAGAATTCTCTAAGTGTTGTTGACCAGAGGGGTGATGAAGATGTTTTTTCCATCGCATCCTTGGTTGTTCATCGACCTTCTGGTTGTTCTCCAGACTTAGTCAATTCTGCTTTGATGTCTTCATCGGTCTTCTGGTTCTTCATCACTTATTATTTTTCATTACTTTTACACTTTATGGATTATGGGGTCTAACAAATTATTATTAAAAATGTCGATTTGCATAAATAATCAAGGTACAAATTCGATCAACACAGACTTGGCCGGACTTCATCTCCGGTCAAGTCTTGGCCGGTTTACTAATCCGGATAACACTACAGTTTGTCCGATTTAACAATCTGGTCAACCTTCCCTTGAAGCCTTGTCCAACTTAACAACCCAGACAACTCTCAAAACCTTATCCGATTTATCAATCCGGACAACACATACTCAATATCTTGTCTGATTTAAATAAACCGGTCACCTCTTGGTCGTATTCCTACTTATCCATTCAATATTCTTAACCGATTTATATTTCTCAAATCCCACTAACACTTAAATCGCTTGACTCAGTAATCGATTTAAAGCTACACCGGACAACAAGTGTCCGATTTAAGCATAAATTGCTCAACCCTTTATCCGATGTAAGTCTAAACCAATTAATCCTTTATCCGATTTACACATAAACCGGGTAAACAAGTTTTAAAGCAAAATATTAATCAAATCAAAGGAATTACTTCACAATTGAATTCAAATGAAATGATACACCACTCACCTTGAATTTCTTTTTAAAAACCAATTGAAAATCTTGATGAAATGCAATCCGGTCAATCCTCCTCACTTAAATCGCTCACTTATGGTCTCCAAAAATAACAAGAAGATGAAATGGAGGTTATGACCGTCCTTTTATACCTTTCCTTAATAGAAAGTCGGCTACCACATGCAGCCTTCACATGCATGCATATACCCATTCATGCATATTCACATACATACCCTCTCATGCATGTAATTTATATTATGCATACATGCATTATATATTCATTCATGCATACAAATGCCCACCCATTTGATGCATACTCATTATTGCACATAATGTTCACACACTAGCATGATCAAATATAACAATTTATCATGCTGTCACATAATCATTTAACAATTAATCACACATAAATTACCTCGGGTGATAACTAGGATCTGGTTATCACACGACCCATGTGTTTTCCATTGGCTTTTAATTGCATTATCAAAAGAACGAATAAAAACAACAAGATCATGCCAAAAATATGCATTAACGCAAAAAAACATTGATATTCTCCGACCTGGATGTTGTTTTCTTTAGGCCAGACATTTGATAATCCTTATAATAAGCCGAAATCCATGACTCCCTAATCTCATACAATTCATCAAACCATGGGTCTCCACGTAATCTATACAAATCCATCATGTTGTTCCATTGCATCTCAAATTCATCAAGACCAAGGTGAACATTCCACACCAACTTATTAAATTCGGTAACAAACGACATACGATATTGGAGGTAATTACTAATCTGCCACGTACATAATACAAAGAAAAACTTGAAAAACAAGAAAAAAAATTACAACAACTAAGTTTCATCGTAATTATCTTAGATTTAACCTTTTTAGTGATATGCCACATACACAATCGATACTTAGATTCAGGAAATTCAATGAGAATTGCTTGTTTCAATGACACACATTGGTTAGTGATAACAAAATGTGGTTGACGTCCATGAGCTTTTACAAAAGCTTTTAATACCCAAGTGTAATCAACAACAGATTCATTTTGAATCAAAGCAGCTCCAACAACGAAAAATTTCTTATGATTATCAATTGCAACGAACGGAACAAAGATCAAAGCATGCCTATTAAAATTAAACATTATAAATTAATACAAGATATAACATGTAATATAGATAAAACCAACAAATAGTTTCATAGCAAGTATAACTTATTCGTCCTAAACGTTGCATCAAATGAGATTGCATCACCAAATTCCCTATAATTCGATCGGACAGTTTCATCAGCCAAGAAATTGCTAACAGCTCCTTATCATCACTCTTGTACTCGAAAAAAACTCAGAACACACCTTCCTCCTATTAGCCATCACTTTAACAACATTTGTGCGTCTTTATTGCCAACAAAATACGCCATATCACGTTTGAAGTTTTGATGATCTCTTACAGTGCCACCCGATAAATCTACACCACCCTTAAGGGATTTCCTAAATCTATGAGATTTGGTGACACCAACCTTCGAACTAGAACCATGAAATACATTTTAATGATCAGCGTAATGTAGTTGCCTTTTAGAACGTGAAAACCTCATACCCTCCTTATTAAAAAGCATGTGATTGTGTTGCTCAACAAACTTGTAAACTTCATACTGTCTCCGTTCTTTAACAAAGTGAATCTTGAAACATGTTCCACAACCAGAACACTTGATATTTGAATTGCGGATTCTGCAATCATTTGGAAGAACATCTAAGGAATCAAAATACTTACTTGGTGGCCTCCCTTCTTTACTACACACATAAAATTGAGACGTGATACGACCAATCTTATTTATCTTCTTGTTAGATAAACGTACATCAAACCCAACTTCATTAGCATACTTCCGGTACATTTTCTCAGCCGATTCTACGGACTCAAAACCATCACCCACCTTCGGCTTATATTTTATGTCTACATTAGGAAACCAACATTTTGACCCATCGTTCATTTCCCCCATGTCCTCAGATCGATAATCTACAAAATCAAACAAATCAAATCGTTTTCAATAATAAAAACTCATAAACGTGTATTTCAATATTACAGTTGGGCCACATTAGTAATGCATTTGTCTTCATTCCATATTCAGTACATGTTTACAAAGCTACCATTTTTCCACATAATATTGGACTTGGAGTCACCAGGCTAGTTCTAAACCACTTTGCTTTATGTTTTAGGCTTTTCAAGAACCAAAGTTGGCAAATCTTGATCAATGTACAACTTGCAGTGCTTACTATATAAGCCATTATGTGCATTGGGTGGTTGTACTGTACATGTATGGATATCATTTTTGAACAAAAAGATTGTAGATAGAACTTGGAATTAAAATGTACACCCAAAGTTGAAACTAGCTATATCAACCCAATATGAAATAGCACAGCATGATGAAATATGTGTTGGTTGGCTGACATGTTTCGTATCAATGAATCTAAATTCATCGAATCATTCAGCTCTCGGGGAGGTATTAATTAGTGACTTTATATTTCTACGCATAGATAATTCGTACAACAGACTTATTATATAATCGAGTTGTTCAGATACACTCCTTCACTTTCATTAAAATTATAAGTCATAAACGAGCTGGTTATGATCGATAAGATAAACTTATTTTGAAGTTGAATTCCTCATAGATACATCTTCTGATTCAACAACTAGTACAAATGAAAATAGTTGATTATGAATCTGGTTCCATTATTAATCTAGAAATACTGAATATGTGGATGAAGTTGGTTCCATTATGAAAAGAGTCGACGAATAGTAACAAATACAGTGTATATGAAGCTGGTTCCATTATGAATTACAATCATGAATCTGGTTCAATTATGAATCTGGTTGAATAAATACAGGGTATATGAATCTGGTTATGAATCTGTAGATTTGGATAAAGGCACAGGTAGTACATTTACACAACTTGTGTATGTGTTTTGTACGTTAAGAAAGAACGCAGAAACTTGAACTTTCAATTATGAAACTGGTTATGAATAGTAACAAATTTCATATAATTTTTGTATTCAGAAAGCACTAGAATCAAGAATTACCAATGCTAAGGTATTTTGGAGTCAGGTACTCTTATTAAATGGTTACCCTTAAACATCAGCAACATCATTGTTGGGTTTGAGTAAGAGCTTTATTGTTGTATTCAAGTTTCTCCTTAGTTTACTTGCCTTTGTAATATTGTAGCTTTACTATTTCCTTAGTATAAATAGTATTTTCCTTGTAATTGTCATTATCAAGTCATTAGCATATTGTAATCAGATTAGAGCTGTAATTCTCTCTCTCAATCAAATCAATTACATTTGGTGATCTATTCTTTCTACTTTTACATTCATCTTGTTCTTGAAGATTAATATCATTTTGTATAAATCTTGGACTTCACAATTGGTATCAGAGCAAACTGCAACAGTTTCAATTAGAGGATAAAACGATTTTGCACAATTTTGCACCATTTTTAGAGGATTGATCGATCTGGGTTTTTGATGTTCATTATCTGTTCATAGTGTTCTTCGTCCAGAATCTGTATTTTGAGCTTATTTTAGTTGATTTTTGATTGTTAATCGAAAAATTTTGCATCGCTAGATTCGCATATGTATTTCGAACATCTTTGATTCACACTAATTTTGATTTTAAACAAGTTTTGAACCCGATTTAATCGATTTTTGAGTTTTCGTATTCTGTTGAATGTTCTTCAAAACTCATATTTTTTTTCATGTTTTGATCCAAATTTTTGGTAAAAAGTGTGAAATTTTGTATTTTTGGTTGAATGTTAGTCCGCTTAACTCTTGATCGATTTAGGGTGTTATCCGCTTAAAGCTTGTGCGGTTTAATATCCGTGTGTTTTTTAGTTGATTGATTTAGGTTTATTCGGGTAACTCTTGTGCGGATAATCAAGCGATTTAAATAATCCGTCTGGTAAATCGTTGGTAACTTGTGCGGATTATTGAGCGATTTAGATAAACCGTCTGGTAAGTCATTTGTATCTTGTGCAGATTATTGGGCGATTTACACAATCCGATGGGTAAGTCGTTTAAGATTTGTGCGATTTGTTGAGCGATTTAAAGAATCCGCTTGGTAAGACTTGTACTTGGTACATTTTTGTCCATTGAGCGATTTATCTCTTGTATATTGATCGTACATTGACATTGGTGTTCAACGGATTTTGACTTTTGATCGATTTAAATCTTTGACTTTTGATCGATTTGTTTTAGAAGGACTTATTCGTATTTTGACTTGTTGACTTAGTTGACCTTGACTTGTTGACTTGTTGACTTTTTATGTCCGATTTTCATTTTAGAATTTTGACTAAGTGTTAAAAACATCCGATTTGAGAGTTTTAATTCAAATTGATTTTGTGCCTTATCCATATTGCATTTTGCTTAATCCGTATGAATTTTGCTTAATTGTATAAATTTGGTTAAGTGTTGATACGTGATTTTGTGCGATTTATATTTGTTTGTTGTCCGGACTTCTAATCCGGATAACTTGTTGGAAAGTTCTATCTTTGTTGTCCGGACTTTCAATCCGGATAAGCTTAACCGGATTCCTAATTCGGATAAGTATATGTGCTTAATTTCTCTAAGTGTTGAATGAGTGCATATTTCATACGAACTTTAATTCAAACTTTGTAAACTGATCATTTAATTCAAACTTTGAACTGCAGTTGATCCTATTTCATACGAACTGATAATATGAGTTCACGGGAAGCAATGGCTATTGGTACTGATACCAAGCCACCAGTTCTGTTTCACGGAGATTATAACCAGTGGAGAGATAGATTTCTGAATTTCATTGAGAGAATGAAAGAAGGAGATTTGATTATGCAATCTTTGATGGAAGGTCTTGTTGTGTACTACCAAGAGATACCTGCTGATCTAGTAGAAGGAATACCTGCTCAGAAAGTAATCAAAGAAAAACTTCAATATACAACTCAAGAAAAAGACAGAGCCCATGCTGATGTGCTTTGCAAGTCTTATATGATGCAAGCACTGAGAAATGATATTTACACTAGTATTGACAGTCATAAATCATCAGGTCACAGCATGTAGGTTCAAATTGAAAAGATGATGATGGGTTCGAAAGTGGGAACACAGCTGAAGATTGCTAACTGTATTTCAGCATATGAAGAGTTCAAGGCTAAAGATGGTGAAAGTCTTGATGATGTTTATGATAGGCTTGCCAGACTACTTAATGAGCTGACAAAGAATGAAATTTCTAAAACTACAATAGAGATAAATGTTAAGTTTCTTAACAATCTTCAATCAGAGTGGAAACCATTTGCTAATCATATCAGATTCAATAAGCAGTTATCTGATATCGATATTCATGAGATCTATGAAACTCTGAAACAGAATGAGCAAGATGTTTTGGAAATTCGAAATGCAAAGAAGAAGAAAGAGAAAGATGATGATGATCCTTTGGCTCTTGTATCTGAGAGAAAGGAGAAGAAAWTAAAAAGCAGRTCTGGAAAGCAAGTCAAAGAAGTTAGCCAGTCAAGTGAATCTGAAAAAGAAGACAGTAACAGCTCAGATTCAGACTTTGAAATGTCAGAAATCAGACAGGCCATGGCAATGCTAACTAAAGCATTCCAGAATAAATTCTCAAAACGGCCATACTCGAACAACCAGAGATTCTCGTCAGGTTCAAAATATGAATTCAAAGACAAATTTGGCGAGAAGAAGAAATATGAAGAAAAGAGGTTCGAGAAGAAGTATGAGAAAAAGCCGGAAGAGAAGAAGAAGTTTAGCAAAGGTGTAGCTGGTGAGAACACTAAGTGTTATAAATGTGGTAAGCTAGGCCACTTTGCTGTAAATTGTAGGAAGCCGGTAAATCGAGATACCGACTACTACAAGAATAAATTTCTTCTTTCTAAACAAAGAGAAGCCGGGAAAGCACTTATGGCTGAGGATGAACACTGCTGAATCTGACTGATGAAGAAGAAGAAACTGAAGCTGTTGCATATGTGTGCTTGATGGCTAGAACGGATAACTGTTCTTCAGGTGAAAAAGAAGAACAAACTGCGGAAATGAATGAAGAGGTATTGGATCAATCTTGCATTAAACAGATGCAAAAGATGATGCTCAAACTCCAATCTTTCCAGCAAGAATTAAAATCAGAAAAATTGCGTTCAAATAATTTTGAAAATCAATTAAAAACGCAAAAAGAAAAATACGTCAAACTATATATTGAAAATGATGGAAACTTGGATTGGGCTAAGTCCTTGTTATCTAAGTCCAAATTATTTGATGAAAAATCCAATGTATTAAAAGCCGAATTATCTGATTTGAAGAAACAATATAAATCATTAGAATTAGTTAATGAAACACAAATTGTTAAAATAAGTAAGCTTGAACTTCAAATAATTCAATTAAATAAAAACTGAAGGCTAAAGAATAAATTTTATACAAAAGAGAACAAACTGATCAAACTATTTTTCTAAACAAACCATCTGAAACGAGATTTTTTAGCCCTCGGGAAGGGCTGGGGTATGAAAATCCAAAATTTTTAGAAAAAGCTTTACGTTATGCCCCGACCTTGTATAAATTTGAATATCTTCATTGCGGTCCCGAGTTTTCGGTAAAATTTACAAAATCTTCTGACGAGGTCGAACAACGAGAAGATTATAATCGTCAAAGAGATTGATTCAGATGTTTGTTTAGACAGTGAGATTGATAAGTTTGATTTTTCAAATAATTTACCCAGTCATGAAAATTTCATTGTTAAAAATAATATGACTGAGGATTCTGATTTAGCTTCAGATTTTGAAAAGAATTTTAATCAAAAACCTGTTTCCGAGGATGTTTACTATAAAAAGAATACCAAAAACAATTCAAGGAAACAGAAGAAGCTTA